TCTGCACCCTGTGGTGGTAGCAAAGCCTCCAGGCTCTGAGCGGCCCCACCGCCCAGGAATCCGGACCTGCCCTGGGCTGTGTAGAAGTCCTCCCCATCCCCGGGCTGTGGCTCAGTCCCCTCACCGCACCCGAGAGACACACACACACACACACACACACACACACACACACACACACACACACGGCGCCTCCCCACCCCCAGATGGGCGCATTTGCAGGGACACAGAGTTGGGCAGAGCCTCCCACTCAGGAGTCTGGCTGACACCGCAGCTGACCTGCATCCTCACCTGCCCACCCTCCAGTCCCTTCTGGGAGCTGCCGGTGGAGGACCCGCCCTGGGGAGGGGGGAGGCCTGCAGCTTCTGCTGGAGTGGTAGGGGCTCCATGCTGATGGGCCTTCCAGGTGGTTCAGACCAAGTGTGGAGGCTGACAGACCCCTCTTAGGAGAGGGGAGGGGAGGTAGCCTTTTAAAAATAAAAGACAACCTTTGGATTGTAAGTGTCAAGGCATCAAGCAGGCCTGAGGTTAATTCCAATACTGGCCTAACATGTTATCTGCCAGCCCCTCCCTCTCAGGGCCTCAGTTTACCCACCTAGAGTTAGTTCAGATGTCCTCTAAGTCCCCTTCCAGCACTGACACTGTGCCCAATAAATTCCATGGTTCATTCCTCCTTGTCACTCTCTCAGGGAACCTGGTCTTCCAGCCCAGGGTCTATTGTCTCTCCTGGTATGGAACTCAGAGGCCCAAGGAGCTCTGGCCACCAAAGCCCTGGGGTGGGTGCCAACCTCAATACCCTGGATGGGCAGGAGGGACAGCAAAAAACCCTCTGCCTACATGCAGTTGAGTGGGGATGTACCCGTTCTGGGTGACCCTGGCCCTCCTCTGCCACATTCTGGTCCATGGAGATTTCTTTCAGGGCCAGGACGGCGGAGGAAGGAGAGGAAGGGGGCTTCTAACCACCAAGTGGTGTGCAGATTCCTCTACCACAAGTCCCATCCACTGGAGGCAGACCCAGGAGAAGTGAGAGTGCCTGGGCTGAGCCAAAGCTGCCACTGTTTTTTGCACTCTAGTCCATCGCAAGCGCTGGGGACAGTGTTGAGCTCCATATTCAGTGAGAGTGTAAAGGACAGGGTTCTGTGTGGTTGAGCTCAAATACCTTGCTGGAGCTGGGCAGCCATGGGGCAAGAGCAGAGATCCTGCCCCCACACCCTGTGCTGCCCTCTCCCCATGCTAGCGCTTCACTGACGGCATTACCAACAAGCTGGTGGCCTGCTATGTGGAGGAGGACATGCAGGACTGTGTGCTGGTCCGGGTGTACGGGGAGCGGACGGAGTTGCTGGTGGATCGGGAGAACGAGGTCAGGAACTTCCAGCTGCTGCGAGCACATGGCTGTGCCCCCAAACTCTACTGCACCTTCCAGAATGGGCTGTGCTATGAGTACATGCGGGGTGTGGCCCTGGGGCCTGAGCACATCCGTGAGCCCCGATTCTTCAGGTGAGGAAGGTGTCCTGGGTACTGTTCGCCACGATTTCTCAGGCCTTGGGCTTTGAAATCCTTGGCTAGCTTCCATGGTGTAGAGTGGAGTTCATTAATGAGTCGTAAGATCTCCCTGAAATTGCATGAAAAATGGGTGTGTGTTTATGTGCATTAGTCTGCAAAGAGAGACTATAGCTTTGTATAGATTTTCAGTGGGGACTGCTAGGAGAATGAGTTCTTGAGGGAAGCACATGAGAACTTTGGTGAACATGGGACCAAAGCACTTGGTTCCCTAAATGCAGCAGGGATCCCCTTCCTGGTCCATGGAAACATCTCTGAGCCTTGGAAGTGAAATCAGCCAAATCCCCAGAGTGGTCAGGTATCTTTGCCCCTCCTCTCCTCTCAAGAGCTCAGGCATGCTAGGAGAATGGACCTATCAAGGTGAACACGGGTTTAGTAGCCCAGAGAGATGCCATCCCTCCCCTAGTGTGAGCTCCTTGTTTCCTGACAAGGTGGGAGTCCAGGTTTGGGGAGCTACTGAGGCTTCCAGAGGCTCAGAGAACCCATAGTCCCCGGGAAGCCACTCCTGTTAAATGTCTAGATGTGTAGGACCTTCAAGCCCTGTGGATACTGTGGCTGTGGGGCCTGGAAGGGAGAGAGCCAAAGAAGGGCCCATGGTACACTGTGCTCTGACTGTGCTGGGCAGGTAGGTCAGGCATAATCCACCTTCCTCCCTCCAATGCTACGGCCATGTTCAGGCCATTCAGACTAGAGTGAGTCCCCAAGTGGGCTGAGATTTACTCCTGACACTGGGGACAGTGGCATAGGGGTCTTCCCAGGACCCTTGGGCCCTGTCCTGTCCCACCCACAGGGTAGGAGCTTTCCAGATTCCGAGAGGCAACAGCAAAGTCTACCTAGGGAGTGGACCAAGCAGCTTCTTTCCTCCCTCACCTGCAACAGTTAACCCCAAGTTAGTGTACCTGGCCCTATTTGCAGGGAAACCGTTAGGCCCTCTAGGGATTTAGAAGGAGGGAATCTAAGAGCCTCACCCTCCACCTACAGTGCTCCTGAACACTGCTTCTGGGGCCATCGAGTTGTATATTGTAGCTGTGTGTTTGTGTCTCGGGGTGGGGGATTTACAAACCCCTGCAAGGGGCTTCTCAGGCTTCCAGCCTGGAGAGGTGAGGCCTGAGCAGGGTGGGGGGCTAAGGAGCCCTGTCCTGGCTTCCCCCACCAACTCCTCCCAGCTCTTGTGCAAATAAGCTCAAATATTGGCAGGCCTTCACCACTGCCAGTTTCTACCACCCCTGTGAATCTGATACTGTCACTTATCCTCTCATGAAAACAGTTACCATTGTCAGGAAGATTGAAGATGGATTTAGGTTCAATAAGAACTTTACATTCAGGGGAAAGCCAGGAAAGGGGCATAGTGTAGAAGGTAGGCCCTCCTTGATACTTTTCCTAGGATAGACCATTTTCTTCCTGGGTTAAGGTGGACCTTTGAGGGGAGGTGTGGGTGGGGAGGGAGAGGCCTCTGGGAGCCACTTTCCCTTGTTACCCCGAATCCCACCTCCCAGCCTCTGCCTGTTGAGGCTTTGCTGCATAAAAATGCTGAGGGTGGAGGTTAACTTTCATTGCCATTCCAGACAACATCCCTATTGATATTCAGGGAAACACTCTGTTCGTGCTCAATTGGGAATCTTCCTTTGGGCAGGGAAGGCCTGGGCCTCAGGTCTGTTTCTCTCCTTGCCCAGTGCCCAAACCCTGCGGGCTCCCTCCTGTTCCAGGGCCTCTGGCCTCTGAGAGCACAGCCTTCAACTCTCACCCACTCAGTTGCTGCCACACCTCCTGCCCTCTTCACCCTTTAGGAGATGGGAGCCTTGGGGGCTTCCAGAGGAGCCCCCAGAGTGCCCTGTCATCCTGTTGGGCAATGGCCTGCCCCTTCCTAGGACCTGGCAAGGGGAGGGGATGTCCCTTGAGCAGCTTGGCAACAAGGTTTCCAACAGCCAGTGCCTTTGTTGTCTTTCCTAGTGGTTATTATTCGAGCAACAGGCAGAGGTGAAGGAAGCTAGAATGTTGGAGGCTTGGCTGCGGGTGGGAGGTGTGGCCTCGGAGAGCTGGCAGGCCTAGGGGAGCCCAGCTGCGACAGGGCCTCAGGCACTGGGGTCCTTATCAAGGCCCACCCTCTCTGACCGTCAGTCCTCCATCCAACTCCACCCTCTCACAGCAGCCTTCCCCTGAACTGCCTTCTCCTCTCCCCACCGCCCCTCCTTCTCTCCTGGGACCTTGGATAATGGCCACAGGAGAACTTGAAAATAGAACACTGGTTTGTTTTGCGTCCTTGGCACCCAGCCGCCAGCATCAACTCCCTGCCACAGAGGAAGGGGCTGCCCTGGGCCCGCTTGCTTCCCTCCCCACCTTTGCCAGGCTGATAAGAGGCGGGCATTTCTCCCTGCCTGGCATTACCACCCCCTGATCCCTTGATGCCCTGCGTTCACCTCCCCCTGAGGGTCAGAGTCCAAAGAGGGAGGAGGGGCACTGCCCTCACTTCCCCGGTGACCCCTCTGTCCTTAGGGGTTGTTGTGGGTACATGACCTTGGTGTGGGGCAGGGTCACTGACCTGTGGCCAACAGCCCACTGCTTTGGCCTTCTGCTACCTGAAGCTGCCCCAGCTCTGGTTCTGGAAAAGGAGCTGCTAGGCTAAAGGCCATAGCTCATTTTCATGCCTTCTACTGAGGTGGAGAGCTCTTAAATGATTTGTAATTGTCCCACACTCTGCCCTCTGGCTAGCCCCCTTGTGGACAGTGTAGGGCCTCTTTCTGGTCAGGAGGGGCTGATACTCTACCCTTCCTGTTTTTTGCTGTAGGCTAATCGCCTTGGAAATGGCAAAGATTCACACCATCCACACCAACGGCAGCCTGCCCAAGCCCACCCTTTGGCACAAGATGCACACTTATTTCACCCTTGTGAAGAGCGAGATCAACCCCAGGTACAGAGATCTGGGAGGGTTCAAAGCTGCCACTGTCTCCACCACCTTAATGTGATCCCACTCCCCATTCTTTTGCTCCACCTCACCCCACAGGAGGTTTTGTGATTTCAGTCCAGGAGATTTAGTGATTTCAGTCCTGATTGCTGAGCCTGTCTCCAAGGAAAGCTGGGTCAGTTGAGAAATCTGAGGAATTTAGATCCATAGTTTTAGATCCATGTGCTTATTTTGTTTTTTTTTTAATCCTTACCCAAGGATATGTTGGGTTGTTTTTTTCATTGATTCTAGAGAGAGAGGGAGAGAGAAAGAAACATCAATGTGAGAGAGAAACATTGATCAGCTGCCTCCCACACACGTCCCGACAGAGGGATCCTTGGGTGCACTGGACGACACTATAACCACTGAGCAACACCGGCCAGGGCTGCTTATTTCTTCTTGAGTCTCTTGGTTATGGCAGGGCCTAGGGTCAGGGACAGTGGCTCCCCATTTTACTTAAAGGGTACTGAGGCTCAGGGACTAGGCTTTGCCCAGTGTCAGGTGCTGGTCAGAGGCAGGGCTTCTGTTCCCACCCAGGGCCCTATCTACCTGAGCTGCCTTCTAGCCATGAGGAGGGAGGGCCCAGCCCTCTGGGAACGGGGTGAGGCTGAGTTACAGTCAGAAGAAGTCAGCTCATCTGCTGACAAGACCTTGGGACATCAAGACTCCTGCTACTTGTCTGGATGCCTCTCATCCCCATGTGGCCATGGGGATCCTGTTCAAACTGACAGCTTGCTGTTTCCTCTCTGTCTTTTCATCCATGCTGACAACACCTTTCTCCAGATAAGAGGGTTCCCAGAACCTTCCCTTACGCTCTCTGGCTGGCCACCTGAGTGAGAGTCCTTCTGCTTTCAGATACCTGACTCACCATCAGACCCTTGAGTGTTGAGACAACAATGGGGACAAGGGAGAAAGAGTGGTATCACCCTGCCCCTCCCAAAAAAGGCTTGAACACCCTTCTTTTTCCAGATGTTCATGGAGTGGGGCACGCAGGTCTGGGGGCAGGCTATCTCCTGCCCTCCTTGAAGATGACGAGACATTAATGGGCTCTCTCCCAATCATGTATCTCTGTCACACTCTCGCACACACGATGACTATCTGGATCCTCCCACTGAAGGATTATCACACTTTGTACTCTGGGACTATTTGTCCAGCATGGCCCATGTTTAGACCTTCTATGTCAAATGTAATCTCTGGGACAAGAACTGCCTTTCCTCTCAGGACTAGAACAGCACACAGAGAACAGGATCCTCTGGTATCTCAGCCAATGGAACCCTCAGGTCCCCCATTCGACAGATTAAGAAACTGAGACCTGGGATGGGGATGGGACTTGCCGAAGGTCATTGCTGTCAGTGGCAACAGAAGGACTAGAGTCCAGGCCTGATGCTCAGGTATAACCCTGGCTTCATTTGATTCTGCCGTCACTGTGTAAACTTTGGGAGAGGGGGTAACCTTTTGGGGAGGGGAGTTGTCTCTAGAGAAGAGCCGACCAACTCCCTTTGTTCTTGTCACACTTTTGACCTTGGGCAAATCAGGTTGCTTAACTTTTTTGAGCCTCTTAGGGGGTGATGTCTGCCCTGCTCTGCCCACCCTACCCCAGAGCAGGCTGTGATGAGCAGTCACTCTGACAGGACAAGACGAAGCACCTGAGTTCTATAATAACCCTGCCTAATTTGCCTAATAACCTTGATTTAGTCCACCCTTCATTTCACAAACACTGATTAATTGGGATTTAAAACAAAAAAAATATGAAGGTGATATTGGCTCTGCCCACGAGAAGCTTAGGAACCCTCTGGGTAAAGAAGACCGGTGCATGCAGATATAGAAGAAGGCAGGGTGTGTAGTGCATGCCAGGGGTGGGAGAACCAGGGAGTCTTCTTGGCAGAGATGGGAAAAGAGGCACTCTGCCTGGAGGAGGCGGCATGAGCAGAGTTTGCTCATGGATGAGGGGTAGACAAGTTGGCTGGAGCAAATCTTCAGGAGGGATTGGGAAGGGTCTCGAGAGAGGGAGCTGCAGAGGTCGTGTGAGTTGGAGCTAGATTGAGGGGCCTCCAAGGCTAAGGAACGAAGATTGAGTTTAGCAGCAGTGGAAAGTAATGTGAAGGTGTTTGAGCCTGGACTCAGGTCAGTAACTAGCCCAGGACTGTGGTGCAGGCGGGAGTTAGGGAAAGCGGGGATCAAGGCAGGGACACCAGCTGGAGCAGTGTTGAAATTGAATGGGCAGTGTCCAGCACTAGGCTTCCCCAAACTTGAGCATGAGCTTCCGGTGCGTGCTCGCTAAGAGCAGGTTCTGACCCTGGAGGGCCTGAGTGAGACCTTGTGGAAATAGATGTGGTAGCCTAGGCATTTGGGTAGATATTGGCAGTGTCCAGGGTTGCCAGGAGGATGGGGGGTTGATGATGGCTTTGGGGCATCAGGAGGAGACTCAGACAGGCTGAGTGGTATGAGGGCAAAGGTAATGTCAGCTTGAACACTTAGAAGAGTCCACCTTTCCCACACCCCAATCCCGAGGGCTGAGTGGACACTTGCCAGGTGTCAGTCCCTTCATCAGGAGGCATCCCGGGCCCCTTAGCCCGCTCCTGCGGCCTCTGAGGGACAGGGAGCAGCTGCCTGACTTGTGGAAGTCTCTGAGATGACCATTCTGCCAACCTCACAGCCCTGGGAGAGGATGGTGGTGTCAGGGCTGAGGGAAGCTGCGCTGGCGATGTTTCAGGTGCTCGGGGGAGGGAGGGAGAAGGTCAGGATTGTTCCCACAGTAACCATCTGTGTGGCCTTGGGGTGGGTAGTGTGGGGGTCAGACAGAGGTCAGGGCCTGGGCAGCAGGCGTCTTGGATGTCAGAGCCATGTTTTTCAAGCTGAGACCTGGACAAACCAAAGGAAGCCTCCTAATTTTTATCTTTGGATAGTCTCAGAAGAAAAAAGAATTTTAAAGGAAAAGGTAGCTGCTTAAGGAGAGCCAAGAGGGAAATGCATCCTATGCAGCCCTGTGGATACAGATAAACTCCAGTGAGGATGGGCTGGGGCAGAGGGTGGGAGGCCTCCCCCAGATCAGCCCCTAACAGATGCCTGGACTCCGAGTGTGCAGAGCCGCTGGGTGGGGCACGGGGCCCTCGTGGTTAGGAGGCCTGGCTTGACTTCAGATCCTTGGATGCACTGACGACCACTTTCCCTAGTGCAGAAGTAGAGGGTCTAACTGCACAAAAGATGTCTGGAGGCTAAAAGGAAGACTGTGCCCTTCCTTGAGCCTCAATTTCCTCATGGGGTTGGGCTAGAGACCGAAGATCCTCTTTAGCTTTGATCTTCTCCAAGTGTGAGGAAGTCTGTCACTTGTCCTTTTCCGGGGGGGACTTGGGGACACCTTAGTCACTGAACACTCTTCTGCATGTTCTGGTTTCGGGGCTGGGGGGGGCATCCCTTGGGAGCATCAGGAGGACCCTCTCCTTCTCATAAACTCTCACTGCCCTAGACGAGAGAGCAGGCAGGAGACACATAAAACACCAGCCCCCTCCCCTTCTCCCATTGGTGGTTCTGGGGTGTTAAGGGCTCTGCTGACTTTTTGGCTTTTTAGTGTACATGGACCTGTGCTTCCTGGGGCCCACAGTTCAGAGCTTCTGCGCACAGCATATCCTCAGCTTCCCATGGCCTCTGATGGACCCATTCATTCCTTCACTAACATGCCTTTCTTTAGCAGCAATGCCTGTGTGTGGGGTGGGGTGGGGTGGGGTGGGGTGTGGCAGAGTGGCCTCCATGCATCTTTGTTCCTGGTCTGGGAAAGGAAACTCACTCCTAGTTCAAGGTGGAAGGGGCAGATACTGGGGAGCCACACAGCAAGGGCTTTTCTGTTGAATGGCCCTAATGTCCCCTTGGCCTTGCAGGAGGGGAGCTCTAGAAGCGACTTCTTTGCTTTCTTGCGTGGGCCTGAGGGTCTGTCTCTCGAATGTGAAGTTAAGCTACATGACATCTCAGTGGTTCCAGCTGCTAGAGCGTGAGGGAGACGCACCAGCACACACCTCTGCCTCCTCAGGAGAGCGCCAGCGCTCCAGCCCCTCCCCAGGGCACTGTGATCCACTCAAGGAACTTTGCAGGGAGGGTTGTTTTAGAGAGCCGCCCCTCCCCCTGGGAGTTTTTCCTGCATCCTGAGAGCAGGTCTATTAGCATCTCTGCCCTGCTGCCCTTGTTCTCTTGGTCTGAGAGATGAGTGGGTTTGGACACTCATCCTCACCTCCCCTCCCTCTCCTGTACCTCTTTCCTTACCTTCCTGTCCCTTTCACGATTAGCAGGGACACTGTTCAGTCAGGGATCACGATGCTTTGCAAAATCTTTTGAGCCAACGTTTTAATCAGCTTCTTAGAGTAACTACAGGACATCAGAAGGACAGGAAGCTCTAGTGCCATTTACAGATGGCAAAAGATTGGCCATTTGTCCAAATTCCCTGTGCAGTAAGAGGTAGTGAGGCGGCCAGACCTCAGGGCTTTTGAGGCCAAGCACCTGCCTGTCTACTATCAGCCCTCCCTCCATTGGTCATCTTTCTCACCCCTGTCCAGCCTTTCCGAAGATGTCCCTAAAATAGAGGTGTTGGAACGGGAGCTAGCCTGGCTGAAGGAGCACCTCTCCCAGTTGGACTCCCCTGTTGTGTTTTGTCACAATGACCTGCTCTGCAAGAATATCATCTATGACAGCACCAAAGGTATGGCTTCTTTGGCCCTGGCTGGCCAGCAGGATTCCATTTCTGAGGCTGGTACTTGGACAAGCAAAAGAAGACCTTTTGGTTTAGATCAGGGGTAGGGAACCTTTTTTCTGCCAAGGGCCATTTGAATATTTATAACGTCATTCACGGGCCATACAGAATTATCAACTTAAAAATTAGCTACGAAGATTTATTGAATTTTGAGTCCCGCCTGCAGTTGCCTTGGCAGGGCCAGACCAAATGATTTCACGGACTGTATAATGATCCACAGGCAAGATCCGTGGTTTGGATCTTAAGTTAATTTGTAGGAGAGAAATGGAAAAGGAAACAAATCCCCACTTAGAAAAATCTGTGCCAAGAAAGAACTCGAAGTCCTGGTTCATGGAGGTCTTCAACATTAGCACCGGGCTGTTCCCGCTGACAGTGCTGGGCTTCCCAGGCCTTCCCAGCTGCCGCCACCCTTCCTAGAGGGAGGACTTCCTGTGGCCCTGATGAGAGCTTCACCAGGGAACCATTCGCTTTATTTCTGGTCTTCGACCATGCTGAGGACAGATGTCTTTACATGGGGAGAGCCTGAGGATCTAGCTATGGGAGAGGGAGAGCTGGGGCTGGGGGAAGGGCAGGTGGACAAATGGAAAAACAGGAAGCAGCTTAGAAGACTGGCGCAGGAGAGGTCAGGTGAGGCCAGGGTGCTGCAGAGGCTGGCCCGAGGCAGTGGGTGAATTCCCGAGGTCTCGAAGCTTGACCAGGCTTGTTCAGATCTCCTGGGGCCAACCCTCATTGCGTCTCCTCTACCTCCCAGGTCATGTACGGTTCATTGACTATGAGTATGCCGGCTACAACTACCAGGCTTTTGACATTGGCAACCATTTCAATGAGTTTGCAGGTGAGAGGGCATTACTGTTTGGCCTGTGTCCAAGATACGCTCTGTATGGTGGGGGGCCAGGTCCGGGGAGAGGACGCGAGGGGGTTCTGTACTTCGGGGGGTGGAAGCTAGATAGCCCCTGTAGTCTGAAATATCCCAGCTCGAGGGACAGAGACACAGCCTGTCATGAGAGAGCTCCAAGTCTCTTGGGGGAGGCAGAACCCATCTACACAGAGCACACCCCTGCTAGCCAATATAGCAGTTTGGTACAAATTAGGAAGACATGCCCACTGTAGGATCCCTGAGGATACTTGGCTTGGCATGTGAGTTAGAAAAGGACCCCTTCCTCTGGGCACATGCAGCCCATGCCAGCCGGGCCAGCACAGGCAACCTCAGCCTCCACTCATCCCCTTGCCGAAGCTCCGTTACGCCCGGCAAAGCCTGCACAATTGTAAGTAAGGGCCCAGCATGCAGGTACGGAGCAGAACAAGCCACGAGTAGCTGCTTGCCTGGTGGCACTATGAAAATAACCGAGGCAGAACTAAAAAGTATGTAGTCTGTGGCTTGACTCCCCAACTTGAATTCCTGGCTGTGTTGCTTACTAGCTTTCTGGCCCTTACCCTTTCTGTATGTCTGTAAAATGGAGATAATAATAGTACCTGCTTCATAGTATTGATATGAGATACACAAGTATGGCACATACTAAGCACATATTAGCATTTGCTGCTGATGTTAGGAAGGGAAGCTTTCCTGCAGCTCGGGAGATGGAGCAGGACAGGAAGAGAATGAGGGAAGTGTTTCCTAGGAGTAGACAGCAGCTATAAAGGCATGGTGTGCACCGTAGAATCATTGTGTAAAGGAAGCAGGGTGGGTTTTTCCAGCTCGAGGGCTTAATTGTTAAAAACAGATAGGACTGAAAAAGCTAGCCCCTGGACACCGGGGTTGGAGGGACAGCCCCAGGATGGCATTGTGAGGTGCTCAGCATGATGTAGCTGGCCCCTGAGGCTTTAGGATAAGAGAGGCAATTGTAGAGCCATCACCTGGCCCAGCCTCAGCCACTCCCCAGCCCAATGTGGGCCAACCATGACCCTTCTGGAACCCCAGCTGACGGTGTGTCAAGCACTAGAGTGCCACCAGCTACATTTTGAAACTGGAGGACCATGGGGCCTCCGCTGGGCAGAGCAGCTGAACTGTGGGGGTGGCAGAGAGCTGAGGCTGGCATCAGCAGGGCATTGGACCTGTGTATGCTCAGCTGCCAGACCCACTGACCTTTCCAGAAGGGATCATTCGTAAGCATTTGAAGCCCTCACACACCACACAGCAAAGTCCAGCTGGAATTTCTCCAAAGGGGCAGGTTGCATCCTGCTCCTAAGTTGAGAATGAAGGTGAACTGAGCATGGGGGAAGGGCAAGGGAGCGCATGGGAGCTGGGGAGAGGGACCTCCAGGGTTCTTGGGAACAAGGAGGCCTGTTACCTCGAGCTGGGAGATAAGAGTTCCAACCCTGAGCCCATCTCTAGTGGCTGCATGATCTCGAGCAGATTTCTTCTCCTGGGCCTTAGTTTCTACATATGCACAAGGAGATTCTCTCCAGCCATCCTCTTGGGGCCCTAGGAGACTGAATGTGTTCCTCCAGAAATATAAGGGAAGCTTGGGAAGGACAGAAAGGAAAGAAGGAGGAAGAGACCAGGGAAGGTGGTCCAGTCCTTCCTAGTCCTGTCCTAAATAAACTGCTGCTTTCTGTACCAGCTCTAAAGCCAAGGCCTTTGCCACTGTGCCCAGGATGTGACTGGTGCATGTTGGGTTGGCAGCTTGAGGACTCAGGAGAGGTGGGACTAGAAGGGACAGAGGCCATCTAATCCAGGGTTTCCAAACCTGGCCATATTTCCCCAGCATCTGGAGGATTGGGGTGGGGGGAGGGTATCTTGGAATCTATGTTGTTAACAAGCTCTCCAGGTGTTTTTTTAAGTAGCCAGCTCAACACTGGCCCAGGAAGCAGTGTTTGGGACACACAGAGCCCCTTCACTCTATCAGTGGAGAGATTTGGGCCAGTGAGAGGAAAGGGCTTGCCCAGGGTGAACTGGAGATTAGCATTGGTCCTAAGACAACCAGGCCCTGATTCAGTGCTGTGCCCCCTTGCCTCCTATGTGGCATAGTTTCTATAGAGCACGGGGGAGACAGTGGTGCCGAGGGGGTCCCCATCACTCCCAGAACCGTCCCTTGCCCCTCAGCCAGTCTGCTTCTCTCAGTGCCCCTCTGCACAGTACAGGCGATCAGACCAGCTGCGTTCCTAGGCATGGCCCACAGGGCAGAGAAGATGGAGGTTTTCAGTGAAGCAGGGACCGCCTGAGCTGGAGGCGGCACCCAGGGGGGCCATCTCCCAGCAACGTCTGTGCTGCCCCCCGACAGGTGTGAACGAAGTCGATTACTGCCTGTACCCTTCAAGGGAGACCCAGCTGCAGTGGCTCCGCTACTACCTGCAGGCACAGCAGGGGATGGCCGTGACCTCCCGGGAGGTGGAGAGGCTCTATGTGCAAGTCAACAAGTTCGCCCTGGTGAGTGCTCGTGATCCGTCGGGGGCAGGGGAAGGAGGAGCCAGGAGGTGGGACATGTGACCCACCCCCAGCTCCCACCGTCTCGCAGCCTAGCGGTGGAGGACGCAGAGCCTGGGGTCAGGTGTGAGGTCCTGGGGAGCCCTGCCCTAATGGCGAGATCTGGGAAGAGCCATCTTGGGCATCCCCGTAATAGTAAGATGCCCTGTGTCCTGCTTCACCCACCCCATCAAGTCTAGGTTCTCTCCTTCCTAGAGAACTACTTCTAGGAAAGCTCTCAGCTCCCTATTTTAGCAGTTCTCTCCTTTGGACAAGTGGTTCTTTCTAGTGACTAACCATGGTCTTTCCTGCTGCCGTTAAACAGTCCCCTTCTCATTTTTTAGCCTTCGGAAGAAATAGAGAATGTCAGTCAGTCCAATCCCTGCTGACTCAGACCTCTTTGTAAGCCTTTCCCATCACACTCTTCCTGCTGCAGTCACTGTGCTGTCAGTTCTTGATTTTGAGTGCCACTTGTCCAGGGTACATGGTTCATGCCAGGTCTCCACTGGTGTGTGCCCAGGGGATTGCTAACTAGTCTTATTAGTGTCAGCCATGCATAAGCAAAAAGGTAAATCAGCTGCCCTGAGTTTTACAATCCATCGTAGGGCTTAAGTAAAATCCTCGCTCACCCGGGATTTTGGTTGCCTTTTCTGTTCTCATGGGCACAAATCCGATTCTCCTTCAGTCTCTTCCTCATAACCGTTCAATCCAGTGCCTTGCTCTTGCTAAGTTTTTTAGTAATCATTCATACTTGCTAACTGATCTATGCCCCCTTTAAGTCCTGAAAGGGGCAGAAAGTGGAGGGAGGTACTATATAGTCAACCCCAGAGCAAGCAAGATTTGGGGTGGGAGACCCCAGCCAGGGAAAGTACTGGTGTCACTGTTGTTTGTTCTGGGGCAGCAGGAAGCACAGCTCTCTGGCTTCTTGAACCTGGGGCGACCTGGCCCCCCTGGGCACCTCTGGCTCTGGGGAAAACAGCTGGAAGTTCAGCGCCCCGATTCTGGCTTCTTACTCCCACATCTACACTCATTTTCCAACCCAACCCATCTCCTGATAGAAGGTAGGGAAAGGTTGCTTTAGGGGGTCTTCTAGCAGACCAGAGCCTTGATGGCTATGTGGCCAGGGCACTGCTGAGGGGTACCAGCCCTTCCACTGGCCAGTGGACCTGAGCTCTGGCTCCGAGGTTCATCTTGCCCTGGATCCATTGGCCTTGAGGCCTTGAGGAGATGCCCTGGTGAAGAAGCCAGGGGTAAAATTCTGCTTGGGCCAGAGAACACCATCCTGCTTCCCCCTACAGGGGTGGGTAGAACTGACTCTCCCTCCTTTTGCTAGAGTGAGTGGGGTCCCCAAATGCTACCCAGTGACTTGACCTCCTGTGCTGGGGAAACCCCACCGTGTCTCTGCCAGCGTCCCAGCTCTGTGTTTTCCAGAGTGACTGTGTCCCTCCCGCTAATGAGGTCAATGGAAGGCTTGGGAGGATGCCATGCTACCCTCTCTGCTCTGTTTGCAGGCATCTCACTTTTTCTGGGCACTCTGGGCCCTCATCCAGAACCAGTTCTCCACCATCGACTTCGATTTCCTCAGGTGAGCACAGGGGACAACTTGGGGCAGAGTGGGATGGGAGGAAAAAAGGCAGAGCCAAGGGTTTGGGGGCAAAGGACAGCCCAAATAGAACATCCAGAGTCCACTCCTCTGCTAACTTGTTCCCTACCAGTCAGCTCATGGCCAGTGGGGTCACTGCTCCAGGGGAGGGTAGGAGCCCAGAGCAGCACTCTAAGGAGCCTGAAGTTCTTATACCTGCCCTGCCTGCCTGGTGGGAGATTCCTCCTGCAACTCTAGTGCCCTTATCCACAGGGCCTCATGGCGAATGGAATTGTTGCAGATCAGTCTGAAAGATCATGAGCCCAGCCCTCATTTTTTAGCAGAGTGGTCAGTGTTCCAGAGAGTAGACGTGACTCGCCAAGGTCACTCAGTGGTTTAGTGCTTACTGTGGGGGTGTCAGACCCAACTCCTCCTTCAGTGGCCCCTAGTGATGCACTGCAGGCTGTACCAACACTACTTGAACACTGACTCTTTGGTGGTGGTGGGGGGGCATCATGTGAGGTACATATGTCCCTAAGGGCCAGGAATCATTTTGTTCATTCTGGTCCAGTTGCCTCACCTATCTCTTCCCCATCAAAAAGGAGTCACTACTCTAGCTTTAAAGTGTTCACAACCATTAGAGGAATGCTGGTCAAAAGCCCAATGACATATCATCACCTCACCCCCATTAAGGATGGCTACTATCAAATAAACAGAGAATAATAAGTGTTGGCAAGGACATGGAGAAACTGGAACCCTTGTGCAGTGCTGTTCATGCAACTGCTGTGGGAAACAACACTGTGCTTCCTCAGAAAATTAAAAATAGAATTACTGTATGACCCAGCAGTCTCACTGCTGGGTATATATCTAAGAGGATTGAAATCAGGGTCTCAAAGAGATACCTTTACACTCTTGTTCATGGCAGTATCTTCACAATAGCCAAGAGGTAGTGGCAACCCAAGTGTCCATTGATGGATGAACGGGTAAACAAAATGTGGTAAATTCATACAACAGAACATTATTCAGCCTTAAAAAGGAAGGAAGTCATGTCACATGCTACAATATGGATGAACCTTAGGACATTGTGCTAAGTGAAATAAGCCAGTTACAAAAAGATAGAAACTATATGATTCCACTTATATGAGGTAACTAAATTAGTCAAATTCATAGAAACAGAAAGTAGAGTGGTGGTGCCAGGGGCTGGGGGAGGGGAATGGAGAGCTGCTGTTTAAGGGGTATAGAGTTTCAGTTTTGCAAAATGAAAAAGTCCTAGAGATCTGTTGTCCAACAGTATGAATGTTCTTATTACTGAACTATAAAAAATTTTTAAATGACCTTGTTTGAGAAAAGGTTGGTTTAGTTTGCTCTAAGAAGAAAAGTAAAATTATAGTTGAAGTTAAAAAAAAAAAAATCAGCTTGGGCTGCGGTTGCCCTGCACAGACCCAGGTGGGCTGAGCTGGTAAGAAACTGCTCATGGTGGGAGTCTCACAGCATGGCTTCCCTTCTCACCCCAGCTTCTTTCCCTGTCTTCTGGCAGGTACGCAGTGATCCGATTCAACCAGTACTTCAAGGTGAAGCCTCAGGTGTCCGCCTTGGAGATGGCAAAGTGACCAGCTTCCCCTCTCTCCCCTCCCCCAGCTGCCTGGCCGGCTGGTTCTCCAGGGCTCAGTTCTGCTCTGGGGTCTGTACCCTTGGACAAGGTGGGAGAGGGGACAGGTGGGTGTCCAGGGAGAAGATTCCGCCAGCCCCCATTGAGTACTGCTGTGATCACATTCTCATTTGGAGAGGCTGATGGACCTAGCTTTGGGGTCCCCTTTACCTGGCCAGACTTGGGAGGGAAGTGCCTGCAGCCAGCCAGAGCTCAGACCACAGCCACCCCTGGGAAGCCCAGCATTCTTAGCCCCAGGCCAGGCTGGAATCTGGGCTGCCTTAGAAGTGTCTTTGATCTTCCTGGCTTGGGGAGGGGGGAAGGTGGAAGGGCTCCTTTCTACCTCCAGTGCCCTGAGCCTCCAGCCCATCTCCCCATAGGTCCCATAAGGGAGGTGTTGAGTCCAAACCAGCACCATGCCAACTCTGACAGATGGATGTACATGTTTGGGGGGGGAGGGGAAGGTGGTGTAGAAGTAGATTTGACACCTCCCTAGCAACTGCCTCATCTGAGATACCTTTCTCCAAGCCAGGTCCAATCAGCCCCTTCCCAAACCTCCGTCCTAGGACTCATGCTCTCCTGTGCCCCTCTGCTCTGTGCTGTGTCCCTCTGCAGCCTGCTGGGAGGGAAGGCAAGGGGGTGGTCACGTCCTGGGCCTCCAGAGCCTGGCTCAACTTCATGCTGTGGTTTGGCTGGAGGGGACAGCAGCCAGCAGCCTTGTTCCCTCCCCTGCCTTCCAGGCCCCCACTTCCAAGGATCTCTCTGTGGCCACCCACTTGGGATTGACTAGTGGGAGTCAAGGAGCAGGGGCAGGGACCAGGGCTCTCCTGGCCTGCCAGAGCCTGGGGAGGATCTGTCTGAAGGTGCTGAGATCATTGTCTCTGACTCTCAACAGCCTCCACCACCTTTCTGCCCTCACAGCCCCTGGGGCCTTCAGCTTGGGCCCATAAAGTGATTCATTTGTAAATTTATCTTGATTTTTCTGCATTAAAATGGCCATTTCTGGACCACTCTGTGTCTGAGTGCAGCTGACGAAGCTTTGACTGGAGGGTGTGACTAATACACTTGTGATGGGAGGTGGGGTGTTCCAGCCTCTCTTTGGGATCCCCCTTGGCCACACACTTTCCACCGTGCCCTTGATGCACCTGGCTTACCAGGCCCCTGCTCCTGGCTTGGGGTAGACCTGGGCAGGGCTGGTGGTTTCTGCCTTTGACTATCTTGCTAGAATTGGTTGGCCCTGGGAGAACGTTGCTTAGAGTGAACGAGGCTGTGGATTCCAAGAACTTGGCCTTATCCAGATGAACCACTAAGACACTGAAGGGAAGGACTGTGGACTTCTTCCTCGGTCCTCTTTGGCTGGTAGTATTTGGAGGCTGGAGGTGGCTGCTCTGCCTGAAACCCATCTGTCACTTTCTCAAAAGGCTAGAGGGAGGGGAGGGCAGGAGCCCAAAGGTAAGCTGGAGTGCCCCTCTCAGCAGCCAGGTTGCTAGGGCTGCCCTCCCAGGCCTGGGCAGCAATGCCTCCAGGGTTCCCCAAGAAGGTGCCCAGTGTCCTTAGGGGCAGTATCAGCCCCGTGTGTTGGACTCTGGCTGCTTGGCTTTTGCCTGCAGAAGTACCAAGGTTCCATGGCAACTGCTGGAGCTGAGCTGGTACTTGCAGCTGGAACTGCCTTCAAGGTCACGGTGATCTATTGTGGCTGGGTCCAGTGAGCAGGACTGAGCCTAGGGGTACCAGTGGAGAATGTGGGGAAAGATGTGCCTGGCACAGGGATGGTGCCAGGAGCAGGCAGGGCAGGCCCTGAGGGTTCTCTGTGGGGTCAAGTGGTCACGGTGTCACCTTCCTGTGAACTGAAGGGCAGTGCCTGCTCTCCTTTCCTCTCAGGTCCTCCTCTGGAGCTGCAGGCAGGAATAACCACTGTGAAGGCAGCTTATCTCCATCCCTCTGGGTCCTGATGTCATAGTGGTGAGCAGGGAACGGCTGGTACAGGGCCCCCCGGTACTATCCTGACCCCTCCGGCCCCTGGTCACCACATTGACGAGGGAGTTAACCTGCAGGCACCATCCTGCTGCCTTCTTTGGAAAAGCATCTTAATTTCCCAATTCTCCAGGGGAGAGGGCAGGTGGGGCAGGAGGGGTGAGAGTTTAGCACACTCCTCCCCCACAAAGCCTGGAGCTCCACCGCCGCTCCAGACTAGCAGCACCCAGGCCTCTTTTTAGACCCTCAGCAGGCCCTGCCGGCAAGGCATGCCTGGGCAGGCATTCATCTCTGCTGGGCTCTGACCCTTGGCCGGGGCAGGAGAGGCACAGAGAGGGCAGAGAATGAGCTCGTGACCCAGCCATCCTGATAATTATCAGGACATTCTGTTCCTGGCCTTGTAACCAACCCACCTGCCCCCATCCTGCCTCTCCTGGGCAGGGGGTGGGGCTCCAGGACACCAACCGCAGGTTCCCAAGAAGGGCTTTTCCCGTCCTAAAGCATGCAGGACACATGGCTGTCTCAGCAGCTACGCTGAGGAGGGTGGGACAAGGATTCCTGGAGGGGCAGGCAGGCAGTACTGGCCTCAGGCTCCGAAGCCACAGAGCACCTGGGAGTTGGGAAGCGAGAGGAACTCGGGACTGGCAGGGGGTGAGGGTGAGCCTAGCTGGGGTGTCCTGACCAGGCTCCCTCCATTTGGTTTGGAACAGAGGGGTGCGGAGGAGAACGGAGGGATGGGGGTAGATGGACAGAAGTTGAAATGAGCAACTCTCCCATGTGACCACTAGAGGGCAGGCGCTGCGGTCAGCCACCTTCTCTGCCCAAGGACCACTTGCACTTCTCGAGTGGCCAGGGAAGCCGGGTTCCGCAGTGGAAATGGGTGGGGAGGGTCAAGGAGAGAAAGCCTAAAGCTCTGGGAGGCTGGGCTGGGAAAAACCACCAAAGGTCAGCAGCCAGGATGACCCCTAGATCCAAAGGCTGCGGCCTTAATTTGGGAGGAGCCTTCAGTCCCAAGTTTGTAGCCCTGGCAGTCAACCACACCTAATTTCTCTCACCAGCACCCTCTCTAATTTAGAAACCCCTTTTCCAGCATTCAAGAGCCTCTGCTTGGATACTTCCTATGTTGGAAAGTTCACTACCACTTTGAACATCTTTGTCAAAAAGTTGTTTTTTATGTTAAGCCAAATATTGACCCTCAAGAAGATCAAGACACCAGTTCTGCCTCCTGAGCTACAGACTGTAGTGGCCACCTGACAGCTTTGAAGAAAGTAGTCTTACCCTTTACACCCTACCTTAGTTTCCTCTTTCCACCATGCCTCCAGCACATGTCCACTAGGATCCCTCCAGTCCTCTTCCGTGCAGGGTACCTGTCCCTGGGCCCCTTCAGTGGGACAATGGCCTTTTCTACTGAGGGGCTAGGACTGCCATAACGCACCTGGGACCAGGCCTGTGTGGTGTACACTGGCTCGTCACCTCCCTTTTTGTGAACACATGTCTCTACTACTCCAGCCTAAATCTAACTCATTCAGCTTTATTAACAGGATTAATTTTTTAACAAGAGTTAGTCTTTTTATTGATCCCTGTTAATGTGCATTTAGAGAGTTTTAATCTATCATGTACCCATTTCAGGTCTCACGGACTGTAACTTCTACTGTGATATGTAGTTCTTCGAAATCCTCATTCAGAGCCTAAGATCACAGAAGAGCCCTGAAGCACATCCTTAGGGACCCTGTTCTTAGTATCCTGGGGGACTCGTACATGGGTTTGGGGTGTCCATGTGCACACTTTTCTGGGATGATGGAGTGTCCATGGCTTCCATTACTCCAAAGGGCACCTCTAGAAGGATAAGAGCTACAGATAAGGCTTCACCTCCTTGTTTTGGATGAAGACAGTGAGGCCTGAAGGGGAGTCCTGACCCCCACCCCCCACCCCGGCCGAAAACACACACACAAGGCCATGTGGTTAGTTCTGGGGAGAGCCCAGGCTTCCTGACTCATTACAGCATTACCACCTTCTTTCTTAGGACCTAGGCGGACACTCTGCGGTGAGGTCTGGCTCTGGCTCCCCACCTTGAGGCAAGGGCCGCGTCTCATTCATTCAGGGTGCGCTTTCCGGGCGGGGGCCAGGCAGGGGAGCGGTGAGGTGGGGGAGGGGGCTGAGCCTCCCTTGCTCACCTGATTCCTAGGTCCCATGCCTGGAGCTCCCTCCAGCTGCCACCAGGGGGCGGTGGTGCCCAAGCTGGCAGCGCATTTAGGATCCCCGGGTGAGCCTGCCTCCCCCTCCCCGGCAAGGGCCAGATGCTGAAATGATCTGCCTTTATTACACTAACAGAAAACAAAAAATTCCCCGAGTGTAAACAGGAGAAACGTGCTGGTTAAGTTACTCATCATTATCTTATTATTAACAAAATAAAGCACTATGTTTACAGTCATAAAAAAAGAAACAGCCTGGAGAGAAGTAGGGCTTTGGGGAGAAGATGGGGGTAGGCACAGACTCCACATCTGCCCCTGTGGGATTTGGGGTTCCCTTCCGACTCTGACACACCTGGATCTTTGGAGTCATGCCAGTGAGATTTCATTTTCTTAAGGAAATACCTTGCGAACGTGATCAGGAGCAGGGGCAAGTCCCCCAGTGCAGAGTGCAGGGCAGGCAGGGCGAGGGCAGAGCTGTGTGGAGGGGACAGAGCATGAGCCTCTTCTCCATTCTTGGAGAGCCCTCCCGTCCCCTGCTCAAGAGGGAGGAATGGAGACCAGCTGCCATGGGAGCCCCACTCTCCAGGGCCTCTGTCACTGACAGGAAGGGGTGCGCCATCAGTCCCTCTGCTCCCGCTCCTGGCACTTGGATTGGGACCAGGGTCTGGGCCACCAGGACAGAGCTCCTTGGAGGCTGAGCACATTCCCTGCTGCTCAGAACTAAAAATGGCTCTGTGGGAATCCACCAGCAAGGGTCAGGGCGGGGGTAAAAGGGTGGGCAGGGGAGGGCAGGGTGGCCCAGGGGCCTTCAGAGACCCAGAGTGACCAGTGGGCAGAGGGGCAGAGTCAGACACCAAGGAAGGGAGAGAGACACAAACAGGGCCCTGCAGAGAGATAGGGATGGAGAGAAACGCATACAGGATGCACAGAACCTGAGACACCCAGACTGACAGAGGTAGCAATTTGGGGACGAAGAGAGCCCAGAAAGAGGCCCCCAGAGAAGCAAGAGTAGCATCAAGAGACACACCCACAGGGACTCAGCAACAGTGCCTGGCACACAGTGGGCACTCAATAAATATGCAATGAATGAACAGATGAAAACACACACGCGCGTACACACATACACAGCAGCCAGAGGCACAAAGGGCTTAGCAAAAGATAAAATCAGAGGGACAGCCAGACCTTTCTGCACAAAGTACAAAGTGACCCTGGTGACAGAGGAGCAGTGCATGTATGTGGAGGAGGTGCGGGGGGTGTGGTCCCATGGTGGCTGGTCCAGCCAGGACAAGAATGGAAACAAAGCACGTGGCTCCAGGGGGACGGGTCTGGAGCTGCCATACCCCTGGGGTGGGTAGACCTGCAGGAGGGGAGGGTCATACAATGTCCCCTGACCATGAGCCCCAAGGACCAAGGAGCTCAGACAGCTCAACTGTCACCCCAGTGCAGGCCCTAGCCACTTATGTCAGCAGCTCCTCGGGTGTGCCTGCAGGTGTGGGGGGAGTGGGCCTGTATCTACAAGTACACAGCCGGCCGTCTCCCGCACACCCAAGTCCAAGTACCAACAGAGTCCAGGCGAGCTGGCTGTGCCCTCTGCTCGAGGCCAGGTCTTCCCCGGGATCAGTCCGTGAGCACCACCAGCTCCCCATCGCTCTTCTCGCCCTCGGAGTCCTCGTCTTCGCTGTACCGGTACATCTCTCCATCGGCCCCCGAGTGCCTGTCCTCCGCGGGCTCGGCCTCCTCCCTGAGGCTGCAGGTGTTCACGATGACAGGCATGTTGGGGTCCAGGCTTCGGGGCACATAGTGCTCCACCGGGGGCTGTGCCACCCGAGGGTACAGGACATCTGGGGAGCTCATCTGCACCTGGCCTGCCTGCGAGCTTCGGGGCAGACAGGAGGTGGGTTACAGAAGCACCTTCGCCTCCGCCCCCCCAGCTCCCCTCCAGCCTCTTCAGCACCCCATACGCTTTTGGCTCCGACACACACGTTCTGCCCCCGGTCTGCTTTCTGATGGCCACACATTGGCAGCTACAGCCCCGCACACACATGTAGTCGCAGGGTGTGCTCAAGAGACACTCCTGAGGACTGTGCTGAATCCCACTTTGGGAAACTATTTAAATACTTTAGTCAAGTCAGGAATCCTCTGTATGATGAGTACCTCGGTTTTTAGTATCCCTGAATTTTTACGGAGCTTGTCAGAAGGGATCCACAGGCACATTTCTCCAGATCCATGCCAGTCCCCCACACTTAGTCACAAATCTACATCCTGAGCCACTTGGTACCCACCACACACAGTCGTCCCTGCAGCCACACACAGAGGCCCAACCACACACAATGTTCACACACACCTATGCACATACATATTCACACACAGCCAACACGCATGCACAGCACCCCTACAGCCACACGAGGCCCAGCCACGCACACGCAATGCTCACACCTATTCACACACACACGCAGCCAATACACACGCACAGCACCCCTACAGTCACACACAGAGGCAAGTCACACATGAACACCCAGCCATTCACAAGAGCTGCACACACACGGGCACATGTGCACACGGTCTCAGCCGCCCAGGGAGGGCCTGCTCACGGGGTCATGTAGCTCTGGCGGGCATCCTGGCGCCGGGTCCTCATCAGGGCCTTGTACTCGCCTACCCGCAGCCGCTTGCCCTCCACGATGCAAGTGCGCTTGGGCCGCGGCTTGTACTTGTAGTCCGGGTACTTCTCCAGGTGCTGCCTGCTCAATCTTGCTTGCTCCTCGTAGTAGGGCTGCTTCTCCTGGTTGGTCATGGACTTCCAGCGGGAGCCTAGCCCAGCCCCCGGGGGTAGGCAGTCAGTGCTGGGCTCTGCCGAGCCCCCCCCCGCCCCCTGCAGGCCCTGGAAGTGCCAAGAAGGTTTTGGTTCCCAGATATATGTGCAAGCACTTAGCAAGAACCTGGGCCAACGCGGATGCTCCATGGGTGCTGAGCAAATGAATGAAGTTGGCATGTGTAGGCATCCAACTGCCAGCTTCAGACACAGCACCCACACACATTCCAAGCTACCCAGCAACTCCTGGGAGGCCTCTGGTCTGTGTGATTTGCATAAACAAAAGAGAAGCTACCACAGGCACTCAATAAAACAGGCTCCCTGCCCAGGACAAAATATCTGGTGTCTGTGCTCACAAGAGACCTGCACAGACATTGGAGTAGCCTCAGTCTTGAAAACAACTGCCCCCTTCTAGCCCCACCTGCCCCACCCTATATCCCACCTTAGCCTCCTAATTCAAAAACCTTTCTACTGACAGCCCAAGAAGACCAGTATCTCCTGTTTCCTGCCAGAGCCAGCCAGCTTCAAGGGTCTGGGCAAACAGTGGAGCAGGTTAGTTAGGCAAAGATGGGAGGGGGGCTCTCTCTCACATGTACGTGTAGGTACACATGCACACACACACCCCCCCTTAAGTTCCTAGGTGCAGGTGCTAGCAGAAGAGCCAGACAATGGTGTAAGACCCTAGGATCCAGCTGCCTCACATCTGCCTGACTCCCACACCCCCTTCGGATTCCACCAGAGTTCAGCATGGTGTGGACTGTCACCAAGCAGGCCCCAAAGAGATCCGGGTGGCTCCTAGAACCGTGTCCTGCTGGACTAGGGCTCCTGAAACCCCACAGCTCCTGCAGCGCTCACCCAAGGGCCCTTACCGAGGATCTTGCTGATACTGGAGTTGTGCATGTCCGGGAAGGCTTGGAGGATCTTCCTCCGCTCGTCCTTGGCCCACACCATGAAGGCGTTCATGGGCCTCTTGATGTGGCTGCTGTTCCGGGACTCAGGGAAGTGGCGGGAGCCTGGGGACAGGGGTGGAGTCAGCAGGGCAGCCAGTCTAGGGCAAGGATAGTCTGCCAGGGCCAGCAGAAGCAACCTACAGTCTACCCTCTTCTAGCCAAGGGCTCCCACAGCACCCAGGGACGGCCAGCAGCAAGATGTTGGCAGAGGCCAGGCCAGGGACCCAGGGACAGACAGATACATATGGGGATTCCACAAAGGGAGAGAAGAGAAAGGAAAATGATATGACCTGCCCCACCTGGGCCCTGGTGGGAAGCAGAGGTGGGCCCACCAGCTCAGTGCCCAGAGCCCTCACCGTCCACGTCACAGCCCAGCATAGCTTCCTCCAGCGGGTGCACACAGCTCTCTTCCAGTCGCTCCTTGACTGGGGACGTGTCCAGGCTGATGAGGTCCTGGGATGGACGGGACAACCTGTATATCAGCCCCTCTGTGTCACCCCACTTCCCCCCCGACCTCTCCCTTTGTGGCCTCAAACCTGTCTTCCACCCTGGCCACCATCTGTTCCCTGCTCCCAGGCCCAGGAGAGTGGGGCCCATACCTTACGGAAGGGCACGTTGGGGGAGCTGTCCAAGGCCCCGCTGTGGCTGTGCAGCAGCTGCCGAGCATCCTGGATGGCCTTGGTGACAGCGTCCCCTTCACCAAGGAAGCCTATGGGGGTAGGAAGAGAGGGGACAGGAAGGGAGTGGAGGGGTCACCCCAGTTCATGCCGTGCCCCTCCTTGTGCTCCTTTTTGCCCCTTCCCGGGGCCATTGCACTGCACATCCCCAAGGGGGTGCCATTGACACGGGCTGTTGTGCCAACAGAACAGAAATAAGGACAGTACGCCCTGAAATTGTGCAACCCAGTGGCCTGAGTCACCCGAGGCGAGGGTGCCCAGACAGATGTGGGGAAAGAGAAGGAGGAGGTCTTCTGAGACACTGAATACTGAAACTAAAAGGGGCCCATCAGAGCAGGTCTAACCTACAGAGGTGAAAGGTCATTCCCAAGGTCATACCATACTCTTGACCCTCCCCTAGAAAAGGGCTCAGGGAACGGTGCAGGAGGTAGAAAGCTTACCCAAAGGCAGGCTGGGAGGGCTGGACTGCAGGTCCCGGGTGGCAGCTCCATGGCTGGGGGGGCGGGGCCCACAGTTGCCCATCTTCAGGCTGGGGGAGCTAGAGGTGTTGGGCAGCTCGGGGGCCTTGGGCTTGGCTGTGAGGTTCAGGGGCTGGGAAGGCTCCTAGGGGGGACCCAGAGGCAGAGGGTAAGAGACACCAATGGAGGCCCCCCAGAGAGACAGAGGGCACAAGCACACCCAGAACAGTCAAGGCAGCAGCCAGCGCGCCCAGCTCGCGAAGCGGTGGAACAGTACCTGCAGGGGGTGGTGGGCAGCCATGGCCCCAGGCCTCTTCACAGCTGGGGCTGGGGGACTGTGCAGCAGCTGGAGCGGATACTCCACTATGGAAAAGGCGGCAAGGAGAAAAGTCCTGGATGAGCACAGAACAGCAGACACCCTGCTTGACGAGGTCCCAGCAGCGCAAAGTGGACAGAGGCTCGGAGCTGGCCCAGCTTGCTCCCAACCACCGCCCACCCCGGCCTCAAAGTGCTACTAAGGGCCTCCTATGGCTTCCCCACCACTGCCCTGCACACCAACAGGCACTGTCACCCTGTCCTGCCCTTCCCAACCCACCGACCTGGAGTTCCAAATCTGTGGTGAAATGAGAACAGGGACACCATCTACTCACTCCAGATACTTGTATTTTGTACCTACTATGTGCAGGATACAAAAGCAGCTACCTGTTGTGTAGTCTGTCTCTTGTGCATTACCTCACAATAATCCTTACTCTGTGGTATATAATAGGTGCTCAATATAGTATTCCATTTTACAGACAAAGAAACTGAGACCTGGAGGAGTTACATGGGTTGCCCACATAGTTAATCAGTGGGAGCACCGACATTTGAACCCTGGTACTCTAGACTCTATAGCTTGTCCTCTCCCCTCTGCACAGCACTCTCTTCTTCCTCGACTATCTCAGTCTTCTCAACCAGGCCCAGAATTAAGGAGCTGACAGTTCAGATGGAGAGAGTCATGTATACAAATTACTAACCACTCGGCCCGTGGTATATGGGCCAAGTAGACAGCATTTGAGAGAGCTCTGTTCCAGACAGGGGCACTGGAGCAGGCCTCTTGGGCAGAGACGTGAGCTAATGCTGGCAGGACAGGGGGATGAAGTGGTGGGTGTGAGAGCAAGATGTGGGCAATGAGACTGGCACAGGATGGGCAAGCAAGGCTCAGAGGCCTGTGAAGGCTCAGCTCTGGAGTCTGCACTCCATGCTGACATGGAGGCAGTGGGGCACCATCTAAGGTGTGTGAGCTGAGGACTACTCGCTCGGCTTTAGGAAGGGGCATTTGGCAACATGTAGGCCCCCTACTTCCTAGAATTCTGGAGCAAATGAAGCAGGTGGAACCCTGGCCAGTCCAGGTCTTCCACAGCTCATTTCATGCCTCCCTTGTCCAGAAAGCATGTGGCCCCTCCCCTGACCACGTCCCTGCCCTCCTCACCCCGGTGGCTCTGCTCCACCTTCACCTGGAATTGCCACGGTTTGTGCTGTTGGCCTGTCCTCCCCATTCAACCCTTCCCAGCCTCCCCAATAGCCCTCCCTGGAATCTTCCCTCAGGGTAGCGTCAGTGGGGCTGACCAGTGAACTGTGCCCACGGCCCAGGCTTGATGGTGGACCCGTCAGAACTCACCTACCTGGACTTCCCCTGGAACAGGGAGGGTGGCCCAGAGGAGTTGGCTTAAAAGCTACCCCCCTTCCTGGGGCTTTTATGGGCAGCATTTCTGCCCTGTCCCCATGACCACTCCCAAGGAATCCATGATCGTGGCCTAATAATTCTAACTCTGTCTCTGTCCCACTGTCACTGCCCTTGTTCAGGGCTAGAATCACCTCAAGAGCAGCCTACCCAGTGTTCTGCCTTCAGTTGTTCCCCCCTCCTTTCCCTATCCTCACAGTCAGCGTGACAACACATCTACTCAAAGGTTCAAGCACACCCCACAGTCTACAAAATAAAGCCCGAACTCCACGCTCGGTCCCAATTGCCCTCCCCAGCTATGTCCCCTCTACCCAGTCACACGCCTCTGCCTGAACCGCCTACCCGGTGCCCTCTCCCCTCAGCTCCCAGCTCCATCCTCACAAGTCCACTCTCCTAGGACCCAGTCAAACGCCACGTCCTCAGGAAACCTCTCCAGCTTCCCTGGTGGTTGGCGTACTTCTTTTTCCCTCCCGAGACTATAAATTCCTTGAGCTCAAAGTCCACATTTTATCACCCCCATGGCCCTCGACAACTACACAGCGCCTGATCCTTCCCTTATCTCAGGGGCCTCCCCTTCCACTCACCTGGTTTGCAAGGGATTGGCTGAATGGGCAAAGCCAGCTGGGAGTCCGGGGTGACAGGCAGAGGTTGGTGGCTTGGGGGGAAGGCTGGGATCATGACATAAGGCATGTTGACCTGCTGAGAGCAAACAGACCCTGTGTGAGTACAAACGGCTACCCAGCTATGGTCAGCCCTGGACAGGGGTAGACTCAAGGATGAGAGGCACAGGGTTTGGGGCAGAGACAGTCTTCCAAAGGATCTGTCTGATCCCATGCCACCTTCCTGGGCCCCTGTCTACCTGCCCTCAGGGCCCAGCTGGGAAGAAGATATTCTGGGCCCCTCCCTTGAAACAGAGGACAGGGGAGGGGAATAGAGTAGGAATGAGCCCCCTCCTCAGAGTCATGCCTGTCTCTCCCTCCAAGCAGGTGTCAAGCCCTCAGGCTCCGGCTCTCCCAATGCCCAGCCCTCCCCTCTCCTCACCTGGATCTGCTGCTGAAGGAGGTTGATTTTGTGCTGCTGCTGAATTAGCTGTTGCTGCTGCTTGGCGATCTGGCAGAGGGATAAGAAGGCAAAGGGGGTTTGGGCTTAGGCCCCAGGTCCCACCTCCCAGAGCCTTCTAGGCCCCAACCACACCCTGCCCTCCGAGGCTGCAAACACGGAGAGCTGAGTGGGGCAAGAAGCAGAACAGCCAGCCCTCAGAATGTATTCCCCTTTTGCAGGGAGCTCCACCTTCCCTCAGAGGCCAGGGGTGGAAGGCGGAGGGACCCTTCAGCATCCCTCTACCCTGAACCCCCCATAGGGACTTAAGAATAGCCAGAGGTGGGAATCCTTCAGCCCTGGCCCACAGCCCCCTCCCCAGGAGCCCCACCCCACCTGCCCCGGCGGCGGGCATTGTAAAGTCCTGCCCCCAAGATGCTCCCCTCTAGGTCCTGACAGCCCCCTCCCCGGAAAGGAAGCAAGTCAGCCTACCTGTTCCTGCTGCTGCCGGGCCAGCTCCATCTGCTGCTGCTGCTTCTCGAAGAGCATGGCAGCCATGTTCTTCTGCTCCGAGTGGGCCGTCAGGAGCTGGTCCCGCAGGGTGGACAGCTGATGGATCATGACCAGGAGCTGGAGCTCCTTCTCTGCCAGGCTCTCCTGGGTCCCTGTTCCGAGTGAAACAGTCACCATTGAGTTATGTTTGTTCACCTGTCCAGCCATCCATCATCTGATATTTACTAAGCAATTGCTGTCTCACACCCATTAGGGGCTGAGTGACAGAGGTGGTTGACACGTGAGCCTTGCCCTGACAACCACCAGACACAGGCAACGCCGACAGTGGGGCATCTTGACCCTGCCCGCCCCGTGGACATGCTCAAGTGCCCAGTGCCACAGGGCCAGGGTGCACAACCATCCCACAGGAGCGGCCCAGCGGGACATGCTCAGGCTTTGGAGCAAGACAAATAGGGGGTCAAGTCCCCCTTTGAACCCATCCAGCCTGGGAGCTGCTGGGTAAGACACCAACTTCTCTGCACTTGCGTTTTTAATATACAAATGAGCACACTAATCATCACTTCACAGGGTTCAAGGTGCCATAAATGTAAAACTTTTAGTCCAGGGCCTGGCACACGGTCCTCAACCAATAACTGTTAGTGCTTCCTTGCCCTCCAGTTTAGCAAGGCCTCAGACCATTTGCATTGGAATTACTCAGGGAGCCTTTGGAAAATAGAGATGCCCGGGCCCCCATCTTCTGGGGTTCTCATTCAGTAGGTGGGGGTGGAGCCTGGGCATCTGCATTTTTTAAAGTGCCCTCTGTGATGAGACTGAGCAAATCATACGGACCTTGATGGGCAGCTTTGCAAACTTCTTGGAATTATCACTGACCCTGTCACCCTCAATTATCAGGCAAGGTCAAGAGAACTAATGGCAAAACCAGATTCAAGCAGAACAAGTTCAACTGCACAGAAGTGAATGAACTGATGGATTTCATGCCTTTTCTGTTTGAGATTACCGATGTTTAAATCTTTTGTTTTCCAGATAAAAGGAAACTTGTTTCTCTTCACCTTCCTATGACTTAACAAGTTGGTAAATTATACCTTTGCAAGCAGTACTGAAACATTCATATTTTTCTCCCTACCTGATCCTTCCAGAATTTGGAAATTCTTAATAAATATTATTATTTTTATGGCAACATTTGCAAAAGTTCAGTACGAATCTGTTCCCCTTATAACAGGACACAGTTGGGAACTGGTTTTAAGGCTTTGATGGGAATGTCATATTTGAGAGAGAAGCACAGACTCAGATATGAACAGACAGCTTTAAGGAATTAAGATGGACTTCTGGAACCAATAAAAACCTTTGGAAACATTGGCCTGGTACCTTGCTTACAGGGCTCCCAGCAGCATTACCATGTTAATAAAGAACGTCACTTCTTGGCAGGTGTAGAAACCTCAGAAGAGAGGAACCCACCCAAACGTATAGGTATTGAAGTCAACATCTCATGGCAAGTCCTTGCCTTGGCTTTTCAGGCCTTGAGAGAGGCCTTGTTAAATTCAACCTGAAGATTCCTTATGAAAAATTCCAGCAAAGAAGATTTAAAAGAGCCTATGTGGTTAATTACTATTTTTGCTGGAATTATACAAATAATCAGGCCAAGTTTAACAAAACTAGACTTATTTTGTAAGTATTAATGTGGCTACCTTTGGTAAAGATGGGGGTGATTTTAGAGAGAAAATTTGTTTCAATACAAACTATCATATACCCTGTGGATATTAGATAAAATTTTCTACCTATAAACTGGACTGGATTCTGAGTTCTTCCCGTTTTCTTAAATATTTGGCTGCAACTCTCCAAACTAAGATTTTCATTTTCCCACCCTTAGACTTGGAGTCATTGAGCATTAACACTGCCCTTTTTCCAAGGCCACAGAAGCCAAAGTGGGCCAACTTGATACAGACCTCAGAGAAATCACAACCACAGCTCAGCTATGGACAATCTTTGTGCCTGCTGCAGAAAGATCACCAAAGACATTCACACTACAGACCAGGAGACTCTAAGACTGTCACTGCCTGCCTTCACTCCACCTAAAGATGCTTCAAGCCAGACATCTAGAAATCTTCTTGACTGCCTGTCGTTGGAACTCACAAACCAAGATTATAGTCTGCTCCAATCATTAACCTTTGTTTTCTTTTGTTTTCATAAAGATGCCTCTTATTTAATACCCGACTGCTTGCACCACGGGCTTAACTCTGGGAGCCCACTGGTATCACCGCCTCCTGAAATGAAATACAACTTTAACTGAATTTTCCTCAAGACTGAGGCTGGTTTAATGATAGAACGATTGATCAGCTCATTTTCTGCAATGTGAAGCTTCCAGGGACGTTTCTGAGGAGGAAACTGTGGGGGCTCAGAACAAGCCACCCCAAGATGTGCTTCTGTGGTAGGAAGATTATTTTGAGCTAAAGTCAATTTTAGCCTCGGGCTCAAGAGAAACTTCTGCCCCTCCCTCTAACTACTTAGAAGAACTTGAATTAGGGGCCTTGCCCATAATAAGAGATTATCAGAGATACTCTCTTTTTGACCCACCTGTATGACAGGGCAAAGTTTTATTTCCTAAACATCTGCTCTTCCTAGCACCCTGCAATGACCCTTTGAAGCCCCCCAGGTGCCTTGCCTCATCCCTAGCTCAGAGTGTCTTATACCCATGTTCCCTTTCTAGCTCTGAACCTCTCATGCATGTGGGGTCTCTGACTCTTTCATATGTGGGGGGCTCCCATACATATGTATGTATTAAATTTGGTTAGTTTCTCTTGCAAATAAGTAAATATGTGCCCTCTGTGAGTGTGATCAACCACATTGGGGAAATTATCACTCTAATGAACCCACTAAGCAGCCCTTTAATTCACTTAGTGAGGTCCTGTGGCCTATAACTAATTTTCAAAAGTGAGAGGGAACGTTGGGATCATTTTATAGTTAGTTCTGGGAAGTAGCAACGATAAGCCTAGGTCATAAGGGCCCCTGATAACAGCCCAAACCCATACCCATGAGATCTGATTCCTACCAGGTCTCTCCCGCATGGGAATGAGCCAGACCTCATGCTTGGGCGCCAGGTGAGGGACGTGCTGACCCTAAGGCCAGGCAGGAGTCAGAGTGGCACAGGCCAAGTCTAAGGGCACAGAGAGCCCCAAGAATTGCCCTGAGGCCTAGACTGCATGGCCAGACTGGGAAAAGGGACAGGGGTTCACACATCACTCCCCTGCCCACCCCCACAGCCTTCACCTTTGACATCCTTTGTTTCCACAGAGCTTCTTCCCAGAAACCTCTCCTTCCAGTCACTGGACAGCAGCTTCTCAATGGCCGGCACGACTAGAAGACACCAAAGGCATGAGGATCAGCCGTCCTAACACCGCCCCACCCCAGGCGCCCCTCTAACTAGGGCAAACATCTCACCTTCTTTTAAATTCCGGTTGAAGTCCAGCTTCTCCTGGCTCCCAGAGGCAGCCTCAGAGCCTCCTGGTCTCTTGGGTTCTGGGGACACATTGCTCTCTGGTGAGCTGCAATCCTGTAAGACACACCGAATGTCACTGTCACCTCCAGGGGAGGGGGCAGGCTGCAGCAAGGCCTGAGCACCCCGGAGATGCACACCGTAGGGCCCTCTCTCCCCACCTTCCCTACGTGCGCTCTGACTTTGCCTGATATACTAAAAATAACAAAAGGTTTCAAGACAAGAGACCAGGCTCAGTCTAGGCTCAGTGACTCACAGGTGCTTGATCTCACGTGAGTACCTGAACTTCTCGGAGCCTGGCTTCCCCTCTGCTGAAAATGGAAATGCACTATCCCTGTCATGGGGTTGTGTCAGAATCAAGGGAGTGAATGCATGTGGATGGTTTGCCACTGCAGCCAGGGGCCAAAAGCCAGTTATTAATTATTACTTCCTGCATCTACCCACCACTCCAGCCAGGCTGGTTACTCCAAGGGCCCTCACCTCTCCTTAAGACACTGACCCCCAAAAAATAAAAATAAAAACTAGGGGGGGGGGGGAAGACTGACCCCTCTCTCATCATCTGATTCCTCTCCATTCTTTAAGACCCAGCTTGAGGTCCCACTCCCCCAGGAAGTCTTCCTTGATCACCACCCAGCCTCCTAATCCACTCCCAGACCCCTGCCCAGAACCCTAAAACTCTATTTTCTCCTCATTTAGCTTTCAATTATATATTCCCTTTTTACATCTCTCACATGGAATCACAGAAGTTCTAAGAGCTGCAAGAATCCTTACTGCTAACGTAGTTCAGCTCCTTCATTTTAAGGATGAGGAACTGTATTGTCCTAAATGGCAATTTAACTCCGGCTTCAGTAAGAAGACTGCTTTTCTTAACTCAGATGAAAAAGCTGGTCGATTAGCTCTAAGCCAAACTCTGAGTGTATGTACCCTCTCTTTCCAACTAGTCCTGGGGGTAAGACTGCTCACGCAGGTGAGCGTTAACATCAGGTGAGTGAGCGCCGGAGGGAGTCCACGTCCACGCGGCTGGGCGGCCGAATGAACCTGGCAGCTCCCCACTCACCTAGTCCGGCCCCAGAGATGGCCATTTCCGCCTGCCCCTCGCCCAGCCAGGGGGTGGGTGCTTGCCTGGCCTAAAGAAGAGGCCAGGGGTGGTGCATGGACGTATGTGGTGGGGACACTGACCCAGGAGCCCCTGGGAAAGCGCTGGGCACCTGGGCTAGAGCTTGGGGGTCAGCGCCATCCTGGGTAGGCCGGGCTGGGTCTCCGGGCTGGGGGTCAGCTGTGGCAGCTGAGCCCTGGGGGGCCTCGTGGCAGGGCTCCTTCCTCCCCTCTGACTTGACAGCACAGTTCACCATGGTGCTACCGCCATCCAGGGCCAGCTGGGCAGAGCCGGGGCTCCTCATGGACATCCTGAGGGAGGAGGGGCAGAGTGAGTGAGGCGAGTCCCGAGACCCGGGGCAGCAACTCCACCCTCCGTCCCCAGCCCCAAACAGGCACACTCCTAGGAGACGGACGCTCCCACCGGGGACCTACAGTGGAAATTAGAAAAGGTTCTTCTGTCTTCTTTTATTTTAAACTATGTTTTTATTGATTTCAGAGAGAGATAGAAACATCAATGATGGGAGAGAGTCATTGATCGGCTGCCTCCTGCACACCCCCTCCTGGGAATCCAGCCCGCAACCTGGGCATGTGCCCTGACCGGGAATCAAACCATGACCTCTTGGTTCATAGGTCGACGCTCAACCGCTGAGCCAGGCCGGCCAGACTTCTTTTTTTTTAATAGGAAGCTGTAGAGAAGATGGGCCCAACCTTTGGTGCTCCTTGCCTGCTGCAATGTTGGGCCTAGTAGCGTGATGGGTCCAGGTAAAGAGGCCAGAGGTTGTTAAGTGGCTATTTCTCAGCCCAAAAAAGCCAAAGTTATAAATGTATGTGTGTCTGTGTATGTGTGTTTGTGTGTCTGTGTATACATAATTTGTAATTAGTTACCAACGTTTAAAAATAAAGAAGTATCATAAAAATTTGGATTTAAACTTCTCTTAAAGTTGGCCTGTGGCAGCAATTGGCTGGAAATGAGGTACCACTATGGCCTGGCCAGTCTGCCCTACTCCCTACCACTCCCCAAAAAGGAAACCAAGTACCAGCTTCCCTATATAATACATTTATTCTTTGGTTTTCTCATAGTAGAGACGAGATAAAACAGGACTATTTTGTTTATCCATAAATCGACCAAAAGTGGGAAAATAAACACAGCCGAGAGATGGATGAGTGGCTTCAAGAAAAACATTTTCTTTTTTTGGTGGTTGTTTTTTTCTTTAGAGGAACATTTTCTTATATGTAGCTACAGTATCTCATTGAGAGCTGGCCCAGTAGGTATCTGCAGTCCTCATAAGCAGACTCTGAATCCACCGCTCCCACTGCCGCCTCCCCCCCCCCC